AGTTCAAGACCAGCCTGGCCAACATGGTGAAACCCCGTCTCTAATAAAAACACAAAAAAATTAGCCGGGCATGGTGGTGGGCCCCTGATGTCTCAGCTACTTGGGAGGCTGAGACAGGAGAATCGCTTGAACCCAGGAGGTGGAGGTTGCAGTGAGTCAAGATCCCTCACCGAAGCCTGGGCAATAAGGGCAAAACTTCATCTCAAATAAATAAATAAATAAATGTAATTTTGTGCTATTTCACTGAAAGACCTCCCAATTGATGTGACTAATATTTTTAAAAATCACTCCTTGCAACTGTGGAATACATAATAGAAGGAACGCAAACTAGAATGTATAAATTGACACAAAATCCCTACATTTTTTTCATAGAATACTGAATGCAGGTTATACAAATTTAATTCTTATTTGCACAGTTGACCCTACAATTCCTTGTAAAGCATATCTATCTTTTCTTTTAGAAAGATAAAAATAGTGAAATCTCCTTCATTTTACAGAAACAAACAAAAAAATGGGCCTAGTCGGTTTAGTTGGTGTGTACTGTTGTAACAAATCTTACAAATACAACCAATATGATTTCAAAATGATTGCCTTTGACCCTCCAACCTTCAGCATTTTCTAACTGAGGAACACAGTTAGTCAGGAACACAGGCTAGCTGTGGCTCTTCTACCGTTAAAAAGATATATAAAACCTCAGAATGTTATACTATGGCATCTATCCACTTGAGCAACTATAGAAAATAAATGAGGGAAAGTAAGGTGAAAAAAGAGAAGCTTAAGTCTTAGTTGAGTTTCCTTATTTAAATTCTGCACATTGAAACATATTTTATGCAACTGGAAGATTTCAAGTATGCAAATATGCTTGTTTCTCACTAAGAAACTTTGCAACATTAGGCAAGTTCTTTGGGCCTTACTTTGTGCAAGAATAAAGAGATGGGAGCCAGCTGGGTGTGGTGGTGCACACCTAGGTCCTAGCTACTCAGGAGCCTGAGGCAGCAGGTTCACATGAGCCCACGAGTTTGAGACCAGCCTGGGCAACATAGCTAGACACTGTCTTCAAAAAAAAAAAAAAGAAAATACAGATAACATCCCATGAGCAAATCCATAAATTTAAAGTATGTGTAATTTTTTTTTCTTTTGGTATGAAATATAAAAAGGCAGGGTGTGGTGGCTAATGCCTGTAATCCCAACACTGTGGGAGGATCACATGAGACCAGGAGTTCGAAACCAGCTTGGGCAACACTGCAGACCATGCCTAAGGAAAAAAAAAAAAAAGAATGGGGCCTGGTGTATCCATAAGATCCCTCCCAGGTGACAAATTACGTATCTCTAAAGCTCATGCAAGTCTTTTTAGAGAATAATGTTTAATTCTTGGGGGAGGAGGAAATACATATTAATCCGACTACAAGGCCTTTGTATTGAAAGTTTAGAAGTGTTAAACTGAGAGTAATGTAAAGCATAATTACATTAAAATAATGACATGTAAGGGGATTAATACTTAACATCAATCATTTGAGATAGTAGGGGGAACAAAATGGGAAACAAAACAACAATGTTACCCATACAAAAGCAAAGATTATTTGATTTGATTTCTTAAGCAAGAAGAAGCCTAAATCAGAAAAGTAGCATAACAGGTGAGAATACGATACTAAAGGCAAATTAGATCAAAAAGCTGTGATATCAAAGCTCTGAGAAAAGAAAGACAGCAATGATAATCATCCTAACACAATTATTTTCTTTAAATCTTAATAATTTTAATCCATTCTGCAGTCTCAAAGAAAGAAAGCATTATCTAACAGTTCTTTTCCTTCCTCCTACACAAAAGTGCTTGTGTCTTTACGAGCTTCCACGGTGAGTAGTTTTAAAGAGTGCTCTTAGCTTCTACTCTCTATCTGAGAGAGCGTTCATTTCGTTTACATGGCTCCAAAACAAAAGACTGCATTCTCTTCTTCAGCACCTCCCATCACAGCATGATAGGAGAATAAATGTTTACTATAAATAACTGACTTTTACATATTAACAAAGAATAGAAATCAGAATTTTCTACTTAGTTTCCCTAATATTTTGGGAAAGAAATAACAATTTTATAACAAAAATTGTCTTTTTCTACTTTGGGTTCTACAATATTCTCTCACAGACCTACAAAATCAGTACACTTGTTCAGAGATACTCTCCAGAGCTATATTTAAAAGAAAGTAGAAAACATTTCACTGCTCCATACAAGAAGAAAAAAAAAAAAAGATTTCATAGACTTCCCTAGAGTACTCATTTCTCTGTAAATAACAATAATGTTTAAAAAAGGAAAAAAAAACATAACCAGTGACAATCATATTTAAGGACAAGAAGAAAGTTAAATTTGCCAAAACCCATCCCTGAAACACGTGATGACTGTTTAGTACATTAACTCAGCAATCGTCACAGAATTTAAGCTCCCAAAGTTGTAAACAAAATATAGAGCGCTCTTTTGTTCATGACATGTCATGAACAAATTACCAAAATGTGTTTTCTCCTCAGGTGTCAGTTTTTCCCTCTTTTAGTGACTGATGGCTCCCAGTGTTATTACAGAAACAGATTGATCTTTTTAATGAGCCAGTTTAATAGACTCCAAAATCTCACCGTGGCTGCTCATCCATGTCAGACCATATGTACCAACAAAACATTCAGTAAAACAAAAAAAGCTCTGCTGTCAGACAGCTCCATACTCTATAAAATTTCATATAGTAGATCTGGATATACAGATAAATAACCAGAGAAGAGGAAAATGCATATGCAAACAAGATACAGAAAATATATGCAAAAAGAAAAAATACTGTAGAGGCCCATATTTTCTTGGCTCTGATCAAATTCCCACAAGATACAAATGTATTTACACAACATATTCTCATTACCCTTCCTCCTAACTCTAAGGAAACCCATTTGCCATCTTTGCGATATAATGTATATTTCAGTGCTCCATTTGATAAAGAATATTCCATCCAAAGATTAACCATGTGAACTCTGACTCTGGCAACCATCCATGAAAAACCAAAGGGAAAATCAGACCAAAGACTCTTTTTAGGAGAGTTCTACCCGACTGAATGCATACAGTGATGCATGCACAGCGACGGAGCATCAAAACAAGAATGCTGAGCGTCTGCGGAATTTAAGATGAAGTTTTCACGTCAATATTAACACACTGCCCAGCACTTACCTTAGGACTGTCCAATGATAGTCTAAAGTCATGATACATTCAAACATAAATTACTGGGAAAGAGCTAGTGAGAAAACAGTTGGAAATATAGAGAAATGAATGAAACAGATTTTCATATTCCCTGTTATGGTTATTTAGCAGTTAGGAATGCCAGAGTAAGTTGTGTGCATTTTCAATTTTGCCTACAGGATCATCTCTGCATTTATGTTAGCTATCTAAACCTTTCCCTGTTACACTCCCCCCACCGCAACAACCCTAAATACATTTCCTTCTTCCAATTTTCCATTGAGTCTCTCCTTCATTCTTTCATCATGGAGCTAAAATATCTCACTATCTGTATGTCATACTCATTTCCTGCAGGGTAAATGGGTTCAGGTCAAACAGGAATGCACGTGTAAATCATCTAATGTTGAGCCACCTCTTGGTTTTCAGCATCATGTGGACACACCACTCAGGCATCAGGATTAAGCAGTTCCCTTTAAAAGCTAAATTACTAAGTGCTCTATTTCACTCTTCAATGTGACCAAGAAAATACGAGTTGCAAGAATAAGAAAGTAGCTCTGTTTGTGGGTCACAGATGAAGGTAGGCCTATAATACGTCAAAAGGAGACTAATATTTCACTGTTTGCTTTAGGAATTTTAAACTATTAAGAGGTTCTATGTCAAGAGGAACAAAATTCCAGAGATTGTAGCATAAAAACTGCTTAACAGAGGATTATGTAATAGCAGTATGTAAACTGGCTGGCTTTTAAATAACATTCTGATTTGCAAAGCAGCTAATACATTTAAGGATAGCTAAGTCGGTCACAAATAGATGTCTCTGAGCAGCTCCAAAGATCTTAAGCTCCTATGAATGTGGAACATAACTGTGTCAGGGTGTTAACCTCTCGAAGGCTGTCATACCCATGCCTGATGAAATGCAGCAAAAGAGAATAGATAAGCAGAGAAAGAAAGCAAAGTATATGCTAAATAAGTTTTTGAATATAGCTTCATTATAAAATTCTCCATATTTCAAAAATACTATGCAAAATGATGCTAATAAGACTGTGCATTCCTATACCAGAAGATACAGATGAGGATGAGGTATTCACAAAAATTATTTTACTACGGTAAATGGGAAATTTCATGTGTATGCTTTATTCAACAATTACTTTGTAGGGTTTAATGGAGAAGTAGTTTTATGTTACATTTCTTTGCATTCTCAGTTATGAGAGCACAGTAGCTGATAGAACAGTATCTAACAAGTAAAATTTTCAGCAAAAATACCATCTATGGTCTCTACTGTATAACTCTTATCCTCACTTAGTTCATCTAGTGTCCCAGAAGTTTTCTCTTAGTTCGTATACAAACCAAAACGAATAGCTACTGTACTGTGTTAAGAAATACATACAGACAAGCTTCAAAACCATCACATTTTAAGGAAACTAGGAACAGCCAATTTCAGAATATTGAAATAAAATATGTGGTTGGGTTAAATTACTTAATAAATGAGAATTTAAATACTGATGTGCATCTAAGAGCCATCAGTTGTACTTGGAAAATCTAAAAAATCGTTCATCTTCACCATTTAGCTTTAATATTACAAGCAGAAAAGATTAATCTATACAAAAGCCAAACTGTCACAAGCCAGAGATTCAAAACTCTGTAAAATCCCAGGCCAGAGACAGATTCAGAGACAGATTCTCAAGATGGCCACAATGGCTTATTGCTATTGTGCAAGAGACACAGGCTGGCAGTTTAATTGTCACAATAAACGTGTTAAATGTTGAGAAAAAGGCCATGGTTCATCCAGGCTCCTCCTCCCTCTCACCTGTCTGGAGTTCGCCTCTTCCCGTTTTCGTTCACATCGAGAAGCAGCTCTGAGGAGTCAACAGGTGAGGTGGTGCTGGCATCCAGAAGCAGCTGTTCATGCTGGGCGAGGTACTGGGCAGGGTTCTGTTTGGCCAGTCTTGCGCAGTGGAGGAGCTCACGCTGCAGCAGGGGCAAGTTGGCCTGCAAGGGAATGACAGGAATGAGAGGAAGGACTGAAAGGCTTCTTCTGTCCTGTTGACTTACTCTGCTTTTCGAACACTGGAGCAGAGTATGCAATGCAGCTACATCAAAGGTCAAATGCATGCCATGGACTGGAACCACAGGCACAGTTCTCAGCACTGGGCTACCATGTGCCCAGATTGCCCTAAGTGTGAGGTGACTGACTCCTGTATATTACTTTACCTCTCTTTTATTTCTTCACTGATAACATTGCGAGTGGCACATTATTTTTAGGGTCACTTTATACTCAAATATATGTTCTACAGTATGTGAGAACCTAGCTCCAACAATAAGAACTTTTGTTCTCCACAGGGAAGATAAAGGGTATACAAAATATATACATAGTCCAATTGATTTCAGAATAGTTGCCCTGACACATTCAATTTTGTATCTGGTGACTCACAAAGGTCAAGCAGGCTAATCCTAGAAAATATCAAGTACTAACTTAATGAAAATACACTTAAAAATATAGACATGAACATAGAGATTATTTTCCATAGTCATCAAGTTCAGACAACATTTAAGTAATGGCCTGGCTATAGTCACATATCCCAGATGGAATTAATGCATAAAACAGTATATTCTAGTAGTCTTCAAAAGTAATCTGCCTTCTTTGTATCAGTTTTATTCTAAGGAATGTATACACACACACACATACAGACACACACATATCTCTTCTAATGTTAGAAGAAACCCTGTATACTGGTCATTCTTCCTCCTCAGCTAGGTCAGCACCTTGAATAAAGAACAGGCTGGCTGATAGGCTGATCGGTAATTCTGGCAATCTCAAATGTAGTAAGAGAGAAAGAGGCAATTTCACACATAGTAAAGGCATTAAAATGAAAACCTAAGAAGGCATTTTACTCTGAACTTACTTTGACATTATAAATCCAGACTGTCATTGCTTTCTCTCTCTCTCTCTTATTTTTATTATTGTTTGGGGAGGGGCAGTAAGGCAGAAGAACGGAGAGGATACTGGGAAGAGTCATTAGCACTCATCCCCAATAACACTTAATTCCGGGAAAGATCAATCACATAAATCTCTTTGCAACTTGAAGATTTCATTTGCAGGAACCAGGTGCCATGTACACCGATTAACCCATCAGGTAGAAAAGCATTTCTGAATACAGGAGAGGTCCGGCTGACTCAATTTTTGGGCCCAAGAGCCTTAAAAAATAGCCCTCTAGAGAATCATGGACAGGAACTACGGCTGGCTACTTGTACCTCAAATCCATTTTTTTTTTTTTCCGTCAGTGCTCTTTATTTCTTTATGTAGAGCCAAGTTTCTGGCCTATATCATTTTCCTTTACTCTGAAGAACTCCTTTTAACTTTTTTTTTTTTTTTTTTTTAAGTTCCAGGGTACAAGTACAGAGCATGTAGGTTTGTTACATAAGTAGATGTGTGCCATGGTCATTTGTTGCACCTATTAACCCATTATCTAGGTTTTAAGACCCATATATATTAGCTATTTGCTCTAATGCTCTCTCTCCCCTCACCCGCTAACCCCCCTCAAGTCCATTTTCTAACAGTATCAATCAAGAAACCATCTCGTAATCACACCAAAGCATATTTCTATACAAGATATAAAATACTAGGGTATTTGCTAAAGATAAGTGCGTGCCATACACTGTAATAATGGAAATGACTTCCTACACATAACAATGTTATAATAAAACTCTTTGTAATTAGTAAAGATGCACATGTGGATAATATATTGTATATACATTTTTAAACTCTTTTTTCTCCTCAGTAGAGTTTACATACCTCGTGTCATAAAATAATAAAGCAAAAATAACATTTCTATGTGAACATTTTTAAAGTTTTTAAAATTCATCTTGGGCCGGTGCAGTGGCTCGCTCACGCCTGTAATCCCAGCACTTCCAGAGGCTGAGGTGGGTGGATCACTTGAGGTCAAGAGTTCAAGACCAGCCTGGCCAACATGGTGAAACCCCATCTCTACTAAAAATACAAAAAAATAGCTGGGCGTGGTGGTATGCACCTGGAGTCCCAGCTACTTGGGAGTCTGAGGCAGCAGAATAGCTTGAAACCGGGAGATGGAGGTTGCAGTGAGCTGAGATCATACCACCGCACTTGCCTGGGCAACAGAGCAAGACTTAGTCTAATTTAAAAAAAAAATCATTCTGAAATACTGTCATGCACTGATTAACAATGGGGATACATTCTGAGAGATGCATTGTTACATGATTTCATCATGCAAACATCATAAGAGGGTACTTAAACGTAGTACTACACACCTAGGATATATGGTATAGTCTAT